GTGTGTGTGTGTGTGTGTGTGTGTGTGTGTGTGTGTGTGTGTGTGTGTGTGTGTGATGTTTAATAAGTTTGCATAAGTTGTCTAGTGTGATAGGGCCTTTAGATGGACAGTTTTTACAGTGAAATGACTGCGTACTGCTCAGAAATATTAACAGATTAAATAAGCTCCACTTTAAACCTGGTCAGGACCAGATTAGTTTCAGAGCACTTGTTACCATTGAAAACCAAGTGCTTCCTCTTGGTGCAACCTAATCAATGATTAATTAACCCAGGATTCCACCAAAATCCCAGCTATGGGATTTTATCCTTATCCTTACCCTTATCCTAGTTTTGTGCAGTAGGCCATTGGAGTTTGGAGTCTAAGCTTTCTCAAGTTTACTTGAATAAAGTTCTTTTTATGACAAAACAATAATTTTTATTTGAGGAAAACAAGGTTTGAATGGGAATATCCAAAGGAGCATTTGCTTATTTATTTGTTGATCAAACTGAATGATTTGAGCCTTTAGCACCACTGCAGTTTGATGGTTGATGGTCAGTCATGACACTGATTCAACGACTGGCTGAACTTTGATGAGGGCTGGTTTGTGGGTTAAATGTTTTAAACTTGTATTTCTGTTAAAGGCATGTCACCAGGTCTGATTTCGTATAATAAATGACATGAAAATATAGAGTAAACCTTTTTGTATTAACTCACAAGATCCTCATTTATTTCTTTATGGGTTTTTTTAGTCTTAAATATTTTAAGGGATACAGATTAGTTGTCTTTAGGTGGAGTTTATTAGCACCCATTTATTTCAAATGTTACATTTAAGCATCGTTAATAACTGAGAGCACAAAGCTGAGCAGAACTGTCACGTATCCAGGTGCTTTCTGTCCTCATGTTCTTCTCTTCTGGTCTCTTTCACAGATGGTGGCAACTTTCGATCCTCCAATGTGGATGGTTGCCACTTCAAGTCTTCCGCGAGCACAGAAATTGGCAGATCTTTTAAATCCTCCCCATTCGAAAATGAAACAGGTTGTCACTTTTCTTCATCTTCCTCTCCGCTCGCTTCCACGTCAGTTCTTGTGACCCCCACTCCAGGTCTAACCACCCCCACATCTGGACTGACCACACCCACCTTCCCACCTGGTAGCCTTTCCGGGAAGCCCATCCCTGTGCAACAGAAACCTACAGCATATGTTCGACCAATGGATGGCCAGGACCAAGCACCCAGCGACTCCCCCCAGCTTAAACCCCCTCTAGTGGCCACAGAGGGTTTTAACAACAACCAGCCTTTTGGAGGAACTTCTGGAAATGTGAAGACCAAACTGCCAAAGCTGAGTCTCAACCACACGGGAGAGGTAGGACTGAATTTTTCATCTCAAACTGCAGAGGTTTTAGGAATTTGGTGCCGAATAACTGAATAATTTTCATCCAGACCGTTATGTGTTATTTTAAGGTGATTTGTTTGATGGCTCTTTAGTCTTTCTCAGGGATTTTCACTAATTGGCTCTGAATGTTGGGAGCTTTTTCACTGCTTTTGAGTCTAGTACCTCACCATATTTAGAAGTGTCAACTCTATAAACATCCATATGTTTAAAGGTTTTGTTTGTTAAGCCTGTTTACTTTGACCGGTTTTATCTTTGTACAAGCTGCTTTTTAGGATCTATATTCAGAAAGTACTGAATAACGAGCCCGTTCTCATGCCCCCCACGTCAAGGTATTGACGCTTGACCAAGCGTCATTACGTTCTGTACGAGATGGGGCGGAGGAGGACGATGTGTTTTTACAAGAGTCGAATTGCGCAAAGCTAACCGTCCTAGACCCTAAATTTAACTTCTACTAGCCTTATAGAGCTTAAACCTGACCACAGACTCTAAAGTTAACCATTAAGCCTGATCGCTCATGTCAACCGCATCTCTCATGTTAACCACAGACCCTAAAGTTAACCATTAATCCTGATTCCTCATGTTAACCTCAGACGTCACGCAAACCCGGAAAAGCCACGGGCGGCAAGGACGGACCTCCGTGCGTCAACATATTGATGCTTGGGCACTGCCCAAGCGTCAATATGTTACGAGTCCGACATGAGAACATGTTAGAGCATAACAATTACTTTCATGGTTATGCAGATGACACTTAAATATATTTTCCATTTAAGTTAGACGTCTCTGCCCCGCTGCAGCCCCAGGTGAATTGTCTGAAAGTTCTTAAAGAGCAGTTAACTTGGAATTATTTGACCTCGAACGAAAGCAAAACTGAATAGTTGTATCAGGAAATTGTACTCTTCTGCGTCTCAGTGGGGGCAGCTGTGGCAGAGTGTTTAGGAGTGTTCCTCTAATGCGAGAGTTGGTTCCTCTATTCTTTCACATGTCCAAGTGTCCCTGGGCAAGACACTGAACCCCCACTGCCTCTGATGTGTGTCTCCTCAGTGTATGAGGGTGATTCAAAGCACTGATTAGTCTCTATAGGTTGACTTGTACATGTTAGCTTTGTAGAGATCTAGTAGAGTGCTGTGTGAATGGGTAAATGAGGACACAGATTGTGTGAAGCACTTTGAGTATCCTGGTTGGATAGAAAGGTGCTACATATAAGTACAGTCCATTTACTCAGTATGTTCACTATCTGTGGCTCTCTTGTTCTTCGTGGCTTCTCCGCTCTCAGGAACCTTGAAAAGTTTTTAGACAGTTCTTTCATATTTGAAAAAGCAAATGTTTGCAGTTTTCTAAACTAGTTGTGTCAAATTGCCAAAGCAAAATGTTACATTCCTCCTAAAGACCTCAAAACTCTTGTCCATGCCTTTAACACCATTAGATTGGACACCTTCTCTATATTTGGGCCTTTTGTATTATTCTTTAACTCACTTTTAAATGGCATGGCATCCGTCTATTTAAGGAACCAGACTCTATACAAACCTGTCATCCAGACTCTGGACAGAGCTGACCTTCAGACTATCAGTGTGTAAATGTGTGTGTGTGAATGGGTGAATGTCTGTAGTGTAAAGAGCTTCAGGGTCTGATGGTGCTCGATAAAGTGCTATATAAGGTCAGTCACGATATTAACACCAATCAAAGTGATAATTGATCTAAATCTTGGTTTAAATTGTTTTGTATTTGCATTATAACGAAATGAAATGTACTTATAATTTAACAAGCAAAAACCTTGTCAAATAAAACACAAGGCATGATTATGACAAACATACCTGTCAACATTTTCTAATGGCAATGAGGGATACCTCAACTTTTTAGCATGTGCCAGTGGAGTGTCATGATTCTGGAAGGGTCCAGATGCATACCCCCCCAGAATATTTAGAAAAAAATCTACTCAAAACTATGAATAGTCTTATCATTTAAACTGTATTTTTCTAAATACTTAGGATTAATAAAAACAATTTTTATATATATTTATTGAAAGGTAGAACAGTGACTTACAACTGGTCTTTGAGATGAATGTACTACTCTTATATTGTTGTTTGTGTTGCACACCTGGAGTTTGTCTGTAACAAAATAAACTAATCTGAGAAATCTAATGAGACAGAAAATCTAGAAAATAGAAAATACAACTTGCCCTGCTTGTTTTCAAAAATAAACAGCATCCCACCTCCACCCCTCACACTATTTTCTCCGACAGCCTCAGAAACTAAAGATTAATCACGTTTCCTCAAACTTTTACACAATTAAATTACTCCCACCACCACAAACGCACATCAACACATTTTTTTTTTACCAGAAGTTACTCTTCATTTGTGACAGATTCTAGATGCTGTTTTAGTTTGGAGGGCTTCAGTGTTTTGTTGAACAGCTAGTCTCTTGGCTCTATATTACTGTATACTTATCAACATTTTTGGTATTTTTGCCAGGTTTTCTTTATTTGTGTCTTCATTTGTTTGTTTAAAATGTGTTTTCCATTTCTCTAACTTTTGCTAGTGACAAGCAACAGTTCCTTTTCTATGTATTAAAAAAGTTGGTAAACAGCTGAGTGGTGCACTAACACTACTAGTGATGAGAAAGTGAATTGCAACTAAGTCAATTAAAACAAATAACATGATGTGTCCCTTTAGGCTCCTGGGCTTCCACCCAGGTAAACCCATGTTCTATTTCATCCCTACTGACCGCCAGAGGGCGGTGCTAAAAGCACTGAATGTTCCCTTCGCGCATGCGC